GCTGGCATCACCTTCAAAGGCCCATGGCTAAGGACCCACTTCTGCAAGCTGGGCCCCACCTCCTAGATGCTCCAGCCTCCCAAAATAGCACCACCCACTGGGGAACAAACATTCAAACCATAGGCCTGTGGGCTGGATTCTGATTCAAACCCTAACAGCTATCAAAGTACTCCTTCCTTCCTCAGAGTCCTTCCAGATCCTTCCCTCCCCTCCCTGACCCAGAGGCCTCTGAAGTAATATGCTGTTTTCCTCACCTGTCTCCAGGCTGCCTGAGCCCGTTCCTGCCCTCACTCCACACTGACTTCTCCCCTTCTCCCTTAGCAGCACTTACCCACTTTGAAGGCTGCTGAGGACTTCTGGGTTCTGCATACTGGTCCCTCTGCCTGCCCAGTGGGACTCTCTGACAGGTGTGGACTGTGACTGCAAAATTAGTGGGTAGCCTTTGTCTGGAGGAGGGAACTGAACAGTCTGGTTTCACAGTGGCTTCCTCTATAAAATGGATACAGTAATGCATCCACCTCAGAACAAAATTAACAGAGGGTCTCTACCAGTCTTCTGTTCACCCTTTAATCCCCACAACTGGTGACTGTATAGATCCTGCTATTAACACCCCTATTGTACAGGTGTGGAAACTGAGGCACAGAGAGGTCAGTAGCTCTGCCCTCAGGCATCAGTTAAACTTGAACCCAAACAGAGCCTCAGGGCCTCCATCTGACCCTCAAGCTAAAAGCACAGCTCTGCTGGGAAGGGTCTGGAGCCCTGAGGTAGCCACATCGAGGCTATTAAAGCTAGATGCTACTAAAGCAGGATGCTTCTCTCAGCCCCCTACCCCTTGGTAAGAGTCCGATTTTGTTTGCAGTGCTTAGTCCAGTCCCTTGGGGTTCAGAGGTAAACCGTGCTTCCCATAATCGTCTTCTCTTTTCCTGAGGTTGGTTAGGCCTTGTGACTAGTTCTGGCCAGTAAATGAGGAAAGGCTGCTGGACCGGTAATTTACCCCTTCTTTCACTGGCCCTTGTCAAGCCCGGATACAGCACTTAGAACCTGAGCCTCAACCTGGTGGCTGGCTGTATGTACTGTTGCCCTGTGGCCCTGTGACATGGTGTATACTGGTGTAAGCACAAAGCCATCATGCCCAGAACATCTGGGATGATCCCTGATCTCAGCTAGGCCACAGAGCCAATCTGTCTTCAACTCAAGGTTATTTTCCTTTTTGTGCATTGTGCAGGGGCATACAGCAAGAAGCAGAGGGGGAAAAAGCTCTTGGCTTGGGGAGAGGATGCACTAAGTATCCGCATACTGCTCCCACACTCTAGTGAGCTCAAGGAGAGGGGTTGTGTCAGAGTTAGGGCTCCTGCCCAAAGTCATCCTGTTCTCTCTGCCTAAGCTGAGCATGGCAGGGGTTCACAGAGAACACATACACACAGACACAGACATATAGACATGCAGACACACACATACACACACACACACACACACACACACCAGTCTCCTGGGGTATCCGTGACTCAGAGTCTGGATTATACCAGGCCAATGGGCACACACACACACACACACACACACACACACACACACACACACCAGTCTCCTGGGGTATCCATGACTCAGAGTCTGGATTATACCAGGCCAATGAAGCCAGGCTCTGGCTGCCCTCCAAGGATACAGCATGTATACAGAGAAGACAAAGGGTGAGGGCCAGGAGGCTGTGGGAGGGCTATGCCGTAGATCTGGGAGTGACTGCAGCCAGGAGCAGATGGTACATGGACACCAAGTACGGATCGATGTGTAGGCAAGTCCAGCAGACCAGGACACTAAGTACCAAGCTGCTTTTTTCGTGGCCAGGGAGGGACACTTGGATGCTGTAGGAGAGCAGTGGGTAGGACAGAAGGCCAAACTGGACAAAATCACAGTTTCCCAACTTCAGACATGTCCTAGAGATGAAGGTTAGTCAGGGTGACTAGCAGTCCCTTGGGAAGGGTCGGCTTCCCCACAGGGACATGGCGAAACTACGTCTGTACCTACCTCATCCTGCCTGAGAGCCAACTGCTTCTTCCTCCTGCTTGGACCCCATGCCTTCTGGCTGCCCAGGGTCTGGCTCCCCAGTCTCCTGTTCTCTGGGCTTTAAGACGCCAGCTGCAATTGAGGCCTTGGCTGCTATACCCTGTGAACTCTTGACTCGTATCCTGGAAATCCCTCCTTCCTCTCTGGTTCACTCTACGTGCCCCACCCGTAATGTCCTCTCCATCTGCTTCTGTTCCTGGTGAGTTTCTGCCCGTGGCTCTCCCTGCCCGGCAGCTGCACACGTGGCAGCGTGACTGCCGTGAGGGGCCTGCATGGAATCCAGAGGACTGCTGGATTTCTGCCCCAGCCAAGGCCTTCTTGCTCCTCAGTACAGTCATTCATCCAACAAGCGAGTGGCTCCCACTGACGCACAGACACAGTGTCACAGCCCACCCGTAATTAGAGTGAAGCCGAGGCTCACACAGAAGGAGGGGCCAGCCGGCTTCCCCTGCAGGGAATAGTGAGGTAATGTGTTCTGAGTCGGGAGCAGAGTTAAGGGGAGGTGGCCTGGCTTCAGAGCCCATAGGCACTGGGACATCCTCTTGTCACTTCTCTGAAACTTCTCACACTCACTTTCTATTTTCTGGGACAATTGGCCCTTATTTCATGATTCTGTCCCATTCTGCTCCCCCATAGGTTCTGATATGAGGTTCTCTGGCTGCATCTATGTAGTCTAGCATTCCCTGATGGTTCAAAGTCCTCAATGAGAAAGAAGGGATTTGGGATCAGATGTTAAACAGTCAACGTGGGGTCCAAAAAAGGCTAACCAAATGACCCAGCATCTTCCAGTCCTCCAATCAAACAAGTGACTGTCAGGAACAGAGCCAGGACAGGAAGCCTCCCAGGTCTCTCAAAGAAAAGTCTACAGGAGCAGCAGAGCCCGGAAGCAAGACGCTTTATCCGAGCTGATTCCGAGCTGATTTCACGCCTGACTGTTCTTGGGTCCTTGCTCTCTAATCTTCCACCTCCTTCAAAGTCCAAAGGGGACAGGCTCTCCTCCGAATGACATCTGTCGTTCTCCCAGTTTTTAGTATTTGTGCCCTCCCTAAACCACAATGCAGGCCCTCCTTCCTCTGGTCTACTTTCCATGTGCCACTTGGATCCAATGAACTGTCTCTGAAAGGCTCTAGCACCAAGGTCAAACCCAGGCCAAAGCCTACACTGATATCTCTCCCAACATGACACAACCTCTCCTGTCTCCATACCTGTCCTGTGCGCTCTTGCTCTCTGTCTCTCCCTCCCTCCCTCCCTCCCTTCCTCCATCCCTCCCTTCCTCTCTCCCTCTTTTACAAACACACACCCATTTCTCTCCACAGCCCTGGCTTCGGGGCCTCCAGTTTTATGGAGCATTTGCCCAAGCCTCACCATGCTTAGCCTGTCAGGATACTCTCTGTAACCAAGATCGAGGGGTTCCTACACCCACCAGCACTGTGCCAGCAAGTCAGGAACTGGGGCCTCGTACAAACACTGGCTGAGACAGTCCTGTGGCCACCTCTAAACAGAAGTTGGAGAAAGTGCGTGTGGTAAGCAGGATGGAAAGATGAGGTGGGGGTGTGATATTCGGTCCCCCAAACTAGTACAGCCTAGAAACGTATGTAGCTTTGGCTTCAATTTGCAAAGGACCAACTCCAGTCTTCCTTCAAAGGTTCCTGGTAAGAAGTTTCCAGAGCTTTTCTGACCTAGCAATTGGTTGACAGGCCCTCTGGAGGACAGTGGCTCCCATTGTTCTCCAGCCAAGGACACACCTGAGCCAGGAGCTTGATGGAGTTTGGTGAACCAGCAAGAGCTGGGCCAGAACACCTTGTGAGGTCATCTCTTTGCAGATCCACAGAGCCCTAATGGACGCCAAGGGTACAGAGACCTGTGTCTAATGCTTCTGAGCTGGATCCAGGAGCAGGTGCAGATGGCTGATTCTTTACAGCATGTGTCTTCTGCATGGTAGATGGAGAGCCACCAAACAACGACAACATAGAGGAGGGTAGGAGTCCCCAGCTCACCCCCTGCTCTCTGAAGCTGGCACAGGGGGTTGAAGGTGAGAGTCACTTTAACTATATGGGTGCTGACTGAGAAAGCCATTTCCAGCAGAACATCATCTGAGGCAGTGTGTGTTTTCCAGCCTCTCTCTATAAATATGAGACAGAGTCTCAAATGAGGAACCGTCCCAAATTGTTAATACTGATGGTCAACTTGACAGGATCTAGAGTCACCTAGGAGACAAACCTCCAGGCATGCCTGTGGGGGATTATCCACACTGGTGTGGAAAGACTCTCCTAATTGTGGGCAGCACCATTCCTGGACTGCATAAAAAGGAGAAAGTGAGTTAAGCATGAGCGTTCATCACTCCCTGCTTCTTGACCACAGACACGTGACCAAGCTGTCTCCCTCGGCCATGCCTTCCCCACCATGATGGACTGTGCCCTCAAACTGAGAGCCAAAATAAACCCTCTTCCTTCCTTCCTTAAGTTGCTTTCTTCAGATACTTTGTGACAGCAACAAGAAAAGTGATTAATCGAGTTGGAACAGCACTTTGGCATCCTTGACTAGAATGTGAGTTTCTGGAATGTTCTCTAAGGGAAGTGACACACTGTGCTTCCACTGTAGGGGGCCACATAGCAGATGCTAGACAGATGCTGCTCCAGGGGTACATGGCAAAGTTCCCATAACCACCCATCTGACTCTAAAACCACCCATGCTATAACTTATCATCACCAACACTTTACAGGCAATGGAGCTGAGGCTCAGAGATGTGGGGACCTGCCTGGGTGCTAGCTGACCCTGAGCTGGTTCCATTAACTCCAGGTGACAACTGAGAGGTTGAACACACACAAGAGGGAAACCCTGGGCTGGGCTCTGACTCTGTGGAGCCTCTATGGGATTCTGCCCCTAGCAGGAGAGCTGCCTTCCAAGACAGGTGAAGAGCATAGAAAAGAACCAGTCTGAACTGCCAAGAGAATCCAGCATCTTTATTCACACTGGCCAATTCGGCAGGAGGCAGGCAGGCTGAGGGTAGTTTTGTAGACTCATCCTTCACGACATTTGGCAGGCCCTGCCTATATGACTTGGCCATATGCCGTGGCTCCCTTGACGGTAAGCACCAGAGACACCCTCCCAGGGCCACCCCTGCCCTGGGTCTGCAGAAGCACCAATGGACGGAGGCTACCTCCTTCTGAGAAGTTTTGATAGCCTGTCGTGGATGAGTGAAAGGTTAGGGGGCCACCGGACCACACACCTTGGAAAAAACACCCAGAAGAAGGATGCTCCCAACTTTGGCCTCACCCAGGGCCTGTCTTGGCAGCATGGCTCAGAGAAGGCCTCCAGCTAACCTGAATGTCACCAGTTTCAGTCCCCAGACCTGCTGAGGGCTGAAGCCTGGGGCCTCTGTCCTGCCCACTACCCATGACGTCTGGAAAAGTTGCATGAGCAGGAGAAGCCTTGAGGTGGGAAGTGCCTCCTGAGGGCCTAAAGCACCTTCACAAGCCCAGTGAGGCAAGGCACTGAGGGGCCAGGAGGGTCACAGAGCACCTGGGGCCGGAAATGGTAGTCTGGCCATGGCTAGAAGTCCTAGGAAAACATGCTCCAGTGCCTTGAGCAAGAGGAGCAAGAGGCAGGGAATACGCAGGTATTCTCACAGATCAGGGTTACTGTACCAGCTGTAAAGGGAGCAGGAAGAACAGACTCCACGTCCCAGAGGCCCTTTCACTGCCAGTGCTTCTAAATTCCCAGGTCTTCTCTGGGCCAAGGCCCTCCCTGGGCTTTGCTTTAATGTTAGGCATCGGGCAGGAGGTGAAGGAGGTTGAGCAGGGGACGCTACCTCCAACTCAAAGACTTGTGCCACCATGGGAGCACTGTGGGAGAGATCCACAGTGCCTGAGCACTCAGACCTACAGGAACACCCACTATGCTCTCCAGTCTTCTCTGTACCCACTTAAATGTGTCCCGCCCCAACCCAGGCTGCTGGGCACTCACTGGGGGAGGGGCAGGACCTATGTCTGCCTTGCCTGGGTTTTCCCAGGGCCTGGCACCAAGTGGGTGCTCAGTGTTTGATTAAGTGAATGGTGGTTCTAAGGACGGGCTGGAAAGGAGGGTGGAGAGGGATGGAAAGGGCAAAGAAAACAGGAGGGTGAGCAGAGAATCTGAGGATGCTGATGCTGGGAGGCTCCTAGAAGGTCGGGGGATTCCAGAACGTTTGGAAAATCCCTAGAATGTTGGAAATGCTCTACAGCCTGATTCTTCAAGTGTGGTCCATCAGCATTTCTGTAAAAGTTGCTAGAAATGCAGAATCCCGGGCTCACCCCCAACGCTAAGCCAGGGACCAACACCAAACACATTGGAGGGTGAGAAGTTGTTCTGGAGGCTAGGAAATTTCTGGACTATTTGAGCCTGAAAAGCTCTGAAAATGAGGTCATGAAGTGAGGCGGGTGGGAACAGACCATGAGGGAACAAGGCAAGATGGTAGAAAGGATCAAAATAAATGCCCCCCCACTTCCCTGGGGTGGGGGTAGGGGGTGGGGGGGTGAACTTAGCCTGAGGGATGGGCAGGACCTGGCTTTAGCCACCAGCCTCTGAGCTGCCTGGGGAAGCTCAGTGGTCCTCTGGCTTGATCAGGTGGCCGCTGAAGGTGATGTAAGTGTCCATGCCATCACTGTAGACAGCATTCTCCCGATCACGTTTGAAAAGCCGCACCCAGACGCAGTCACCCTGAGCTAGCTGCAGCATCACACTCTGGCTCTGCATGATGCTGCGCTCACTGGGCTGCGCGTATAGGATGACTGCCGCCTTCTCGTTGTGGACCACATGCACGTAGGTTTCCTTGTAGTTCCAGCTGTGCACGTTAAGGCTGAAGAAGTAGAGGCCTGGCAGGGGAGCCACGAAGCGGCCGGTGGCCATGTCGAAGTGGCCATCTGTGTTCACAAAGACCCTGTCGAAGAGCAGAGGCAGGAATTCCTCGCTGCTGTGCAGGGCCGTCTTGCGTCCCACGGAGAAGGCCGAGTAGTGGATCTGGCATGGGCTGCCAGGACTGCCTGCCTGCCCCTTGTCACCTTTGGTACCCTGAGGGCCACGGTCCCCTCGAGGACCCTCCTTGCCTGATTTCCCTGGTGTGCCCAGAGGACCTCGGTCCCCTTTGTCACCTGTAGGGATGTTAAGGGGAGAAGTCAGGGCAGGCACCTAAACCCTTTGTTTTGTAAGGATCTGCCCTTGCCCCAGGCCCAGAGAACGAGCTAGCGTTTATTGAATACCTACTACAGGCCAGGCACATCCCTCTGCAGAAGCAAGACTGAGACCATTTAAAAGATCTAGACTATGTTCTGTCCCCAGTTTAGCCTGAATTTCTTCCTTGGAAGGGAGGGTGGGGCAGGCCTCTGAGAGGCCCGGTCCAGGATGACAGGCAGGTGAGGCAAGGTAAGACTCACTTTGCACTTCTGGTCAGCAAAGGAACCCAGAAAACAACCTTGGCCATGACTTGGGAATTTCTGTGTTTGGAGCCTTGGGTTTCTTTTATATTTTAAAGGGATAAGGCCTACCTCACAGGTATGTGAGTCCTTATTTGGCAATGAGGTGGCAGGAAGCCCATTCAGCATGACCCAGTCCATCTCTACCCACTGGAAACTGGTGGCCTCCAACCTAGTCACTCTCCCAGCCCTCCCTCCAGGCTGAATTTGAACATGGCAGAGATGTCCACCTCATACACCTAACGAGGGCTGACCCCATGTATTTTCTGACATCTAGTCCAACATCTCAAGTCACTCTGATGAGGGAGTTAAGGAGTTGTGTGCTCTCCCAGGTCCCCTTGACCATGATGGTGGCAGCCAGTGAGGGAGGCACAGATCCTTGAGGGCTGGCCAGAGGGGAGTAAGATGGGTGTGTGCTCAGCTGTGGACTAGCTCCACAGATGCCACCTCCTGACAGAACCACCTCACTGAGTGGAGCACATTTGAGTGCTCTACCCAGCCTGAGGGAGGTAGAGCCAGGTGGTTGTAAGGAGACAGTAAACCCAGGAGGTCAGCCTGACCCACGGGGGGATACCCAGGTGGCCTCCTCCTACAGAGAACTGGCTACCTCTAATAGCCTCACTGGAGGTAGCCAGGTCTTAGTCTGGACAACCACAGGAAGGGCTAGCAGCCCCAGGCCCCTCCACCTCCACAGAGACAAAGCAAGCACAGTTGTGCTGTGGAGACCACAGGGCAAGGAGAACAGGACAGGAAGTGTTTTCACCCAAGCAAAGGACTTAAATGAGTGGGAGTCTCCAGTACCAGCGAGCCACCAGAGGTGAGTGCCCTCCTTTGTCCCTGACAACAGATGAACCCAGGAGAGCTCCTTCCCCATTAGACACCTACATGGTGGGAGGAATGATCTAGTCTCTACCTCAGGGTGCCATCGTGAGCAAAGACATGTCAAGGATGACAGGAGTGTGGCCACAGCAGTCACTGGCTCCATCCCTGTGGCAGGACTAATTCCATTATGTCTGATGATTACGCCTGATGCTGTGTGACAAGAGGCCGTCCCCACCTCCAGCCATAGAAGCCCCAGGACCCTCCACTTCTATCTCTGACCCTTGCTGTCCACTCTGCTCAAACCATCCTGATCCCACTGGAAGAAGCCTGGGTCTTGGTAGTGGCTGGTGGTTCCAGAGCCCCATTCTCTTTCTCCCTGTGTTGGCTCCTTTCACGCCCCCTGTTGGGAAGCCCCTCACCCTGTGAGCCTAAGCTTGCAGGTCACCTTCCCCAGGAGCCCTCTGCACCTGCCATGCATGCTCTGCAGCCTGGACTCCACACTATACCCTGATATTCTGCCCACCTTGCAACTAATGGAGTCTTTCAACCTTTAATCCCATTCTCTTGAGTAATCTTTATTGCTTATGACCTTGCCCAATCCTTGAGCTCAGAATGGTCCTCAAACATCCTGGGTGCCTTGAATATACAGATGGAAGGAAGGCAGGACTCATATGGGGCCTGTCCTGCTTTCTCCTGTTCCTCCTTCTCTTCTTATCCCCTGCCAGCCCTGCCACAGCCTGCCCCATGTGAGAACTCACCCTTCAGTATGGTGATATTGATGTAAGGCCTGACTTCAGGCACGATATAGGGGGAGATGGGTGACAGTGGGTCCTCGGGGTCACAACACCGTCGGCAGCCCTCAGGGAGGCGGGAGGCCACAGATTCCCCAGAAGTGACTTCCTCCATGGGGACTCCAAACACAAGAGGAAACAGGAGCGCTGCCCAAAGGGGATTCAGGCTGGCTGTCCCCATAATGATCTGGAAGGATGGACAGAAGCCACATTTGACTTAGTATATCTGATGTACTAATACTTGTGGATGACACTGTCTCCTGAAGCCAGGGTGATCCCAGGACAACTTGGAGAGCAAGGTGGGATCCCCTGCAACAGGTAAATCTGAAGCCACCTGAAAAGCAAGTTTGAGGACGCCAGACTGGCTGCTGAGCCTTCTGGTACTCACCACCGTAGCCACTGCCACTGGTCTAGGAAGAAGGAAGCCCCTGTGGAGACAGTCAGGGCAGACAATGGTCCCAGGCCTTTTTGGGGGAGCTGAGGAAAATGCCCAGCTGTCCACACAGATAAGTAAAGAGATGAGGCTGTTTGCTGGCCATGGCTCCCACCACCTCCAACAGACCCCTGCCACAGGTAGCAGCAGGTACTAGGGGCTCCAAGGACCAAGACATTGGCTTTGTAGCACCTTTAGGCAGAACGAGAAGGCATCCCTCTCGGGGGAACAAGTCAGAAACAAAGAAGTCCCCTTTGGAGGGACACTAGGCTGAGGAGTGGGCAGCTTAGCAGGGCCTCATCTCTCAGCACCTTTGGGCAGTCAGCAACCCACATGCCCCACCCTTGCCCAGAAGCCCTGCTAAGGCTCAGAGTTAAGTCATTGGAAAGTGGTTATGTCAATCATGATAGACCTACCAACCAGCCACTAAGGTGGTAAATTAGAATTAAGGGGCAGAACCAGGAGGGCTGAAAATTCAAAAGGATCAGAATTAGTGAAGTTCTGTCTTAGGCCTTGAACATGAAGGGGTCCTGAGTTTCCAGTGGGACAGGAAGTAGGCCGGACACCCGCAGAAGAGCCTGGACTGGTGGGCAGGAAGCCCGCAGCGGGCCTTTGAGGTGGTAACAGCCTCTGGGGCTGGCGCCACCTGGTTATCACAGATCAGAAACGGCTTCTGAAACCAGACTGGTTTTTACACTTCTGGCATCTCTTTGTTTATTTCCTTTTTGTTCCCCTTTAACATTTAGTACAATTCAAAAATATTTTTCTGTGGTTAATACGGGCTGAGAAGGTAAACGATGACTTCTGGAACCGCTATGAATAAAGGTTAGGTGTTAAAGGGACAGGAGCTCTGGGTTTTCTCCCCTGGGACTAGGCGGCAGCAGAGAGTGGGGAGGGATAGGCAGCTCCAGACACACCCCCTTTCTAGAAAAGTGAGCTGGAGTTTGCTCCACAGGACCGGTGAACGCCTCAAGAGATCAACCCTGCCCCATTATATTTTCACCTATAAGTCCAGGCAGAATCCTCTCCCTGTTCCTGGCCATAGCTAAGGCCCATCCTGTAGGGAAACTGGACATCTTAATGTCAAGATTGAATTCCCAGAATAGTTTACAAACTGTGTGACCTAGGTTTTATGGCTTTACCACTCAGGTCTTCCCACACCTTCATCCACATACAATATCAACATCTCTTCCCTGTCTGGGCTTATCAGATAAGAGTCCAGTCCTTCCTCTGTCCGGCACAGACCTCATCCCAGTGTCTGCATGGGCTAAAAGGCACAGAACTTCTCCCAGAGGGCTGCCAGGGTTTGAAGACATTTCTGTTTCCTACTGGGTCTGGCCCCAAGGGAGTCAAGCTCAGAGACACAGAACAGGGGCTCCAGGGGCAGGAAGCAGGAAGCAGGAAGCAGGGCCGCCTTCCCAGGAGCAGTGCTAACCACAACTGGGATTCCTCGCTGGCTCCTGGGGTGGGAGTGTGGATAGGGGTGGGGGTGGGGGTGGCACAACAAAGTGTGGAGGATCATGCCAACCATGGAGTGACCTTGGGGGCCCCCACTGCCTCCACTGGGAAGCTGGAGCCTCTTTGGGGCAGCAGAGTAATCCTCATCACCCAGGTGGGCAGGACTGAGCTGGGTGGTTGGAGGGGCGGTCCCTGCAGGAGCAGACAGAAGCCAGGAGCAGTGCAGAAGCACCAGGGAAGAACATATCTTCTGGAGGAACTAACTGGGCAAGAGGAAAAGAGCTGTGTGTCTCAGGAACAGCAGAACAGGGAAACCCCAGGCTCTGATCCCAGCCCCCAGCCCAGGCCGACGTAGACGGGCCTCCCACCACTCACCCTGGTCCTGCAGCCTCGAGCTCAGCTCACAGACCCGGGGCGGCCTCTGGCTCCTTGGCCCATGTCTGTGTTAATAACTTGTTGCTGGCCCGACCCCCAGGCCGACGGAGCAGGGAGGGTGGAGGATGGAGGGAGGGCGGAGGGAACGCTGAGCTGGCTTCCCATTCCCCTCCTCCTGCTCCCGCCCCTCCAGCCTAGGGCTCTGCCTCTGAGATACTGGGAGCCAGGCCGGAGCTTCTGTTTAACTTTTGTGGGTATCTGTTGCTCAGGCCTCACTGTGAGGTCCTGTCTGAGTCAAAGGCCTTGAGAATTAGACAAGATGGGGGTGTGTGGGGGGTTGAGGTCCTAGAAACGCATGGAGTGGAAATCAGAGGCGACAAGGAGTCAGGATTCTGCATCGCTTTGGAAAGGCAGGCAGCACCAGGAACTCCCCCAGCCTAGGTCTAGTTGGAACCCAAGAGCCATCTGCCAAAAGCTATACTGACAGGGAGGGTGGCATAGAGGGTACCGGTACCCATCCTCCATCACAGGCACAAATCCTGGCACTAGTACACAGTAGCCAGCAACTTGGCTAGGCACTGCTTCTCCCACCAGGGTAGCCAAGGATTTTGCTTGCCCACAGCACATAAGTGCTGGATCAGCAACTTGGCTAGGCACTGCTTCTCCCACCAGGGTAGCCAAGGATTTTGCCCACAGCACATAAGTGCTGGACGAAAAATGGCTTGGTACAGGATGGCAGAGTGGGCATCATGACCTCTTCAGGCCCAGGTGAGGAGCAGCTCACCAAAGTCATCCTCTTCTGCCCAGAATCCTGTCTTAACTGATTCAACCTCTTGGTCTCCTAGAGTCAGTCCTCTTATAGAAGCGACCCCTGAGAAGTTCACAGGGGTGCAGCCTATGTGCCCTGGGTCTGAGCAGGACCCTGTCTGTTTCCTCCTGGACAGGGTGGGGGATGTTTGGCAAAGGCTTCCTGGGGCCAGAGACCCAGTTGCAGACTGCTGCAAATGCCCCTCACCCTCTGCTACCCTTCCACTTCAGGCTTACTGCCAAATAGCTAGGCTTCATCTTTCTCTGGGGACCTTGGTCCACAAAAGGTGTGGCTGCAAATGCCCCTCACCCTCTGCTACCCTTCCACTTCAGGCTTACTGCCATAGCTAGGCTTCATCTTTCTCTGGGGACCTTGGTCCACAAAAGGTGTCTAAATTCAGTATCTCACCCAGCCCAGGGTGAGGGGGCAAGTCGGCTAGTTGGAGGGACTTGACAGGCCCATCGCTCTCCAGTCTGCCACTGTTCCCATAAGGCACCTTCAGAGAATAGAGAAACAGAGAAGAGGGGGACAGACTTAGGTCTGGGACTTCCTGGCCCCACTCATCTACTTAGCAACCTGCATGACCAGAGCTGTCTCTGGGCCTTGGGATTCCTGTATGTTTGGAGGACAGTTCAACATCAGTTATCAGGCCTGGAAGGGCCTCAGAGATGATCTAATCCCATTCCTTAATCTTACCAGAAGGAACACTCTGGTTGAGGGAGGTCAAGACATCAGTACAGATCACATACAGAGTCCAAGTTGGGAGGACAGCTAAACTCTCCTGACTTCTGGCCAGGTGCTGCCCCCCAAAACAACTTAGAACCCCCAAGTCCATTCAGCCGTGCAAAGGGGCTCAGAAGAAGGCAAAGGGACGGTGGCCATGGGGACCACTGTCAGCCCCACACTGGCATGGCCTCTGCATGGCCCTGCCTGAACAGCATTCCTAGGGCACAGAGCCAGGCCTGCAGGAGGGCTACCCTCCCAAGCTGCAGCCACTAGAGCAAAGGGCTGAGTTAGCAGCCTGGGGGAGGGGATAGCTCCAGGCAGTCTCAGCCCTCTGGCATTGGAAGCCTGAAAGGCTAGGGAAAAATGGATGAAAGGAAAGATAGATGGACAGAAGCAGGCTGGGGGTGGAGTTGTAACCAGAGCTGGCTGTGTGCCTAGCACCCTGCACCCCACCACACTCAGCACCCCCCACCCCCGCAAGGCCAGGCTGTTCAACATTCTTAACAGACCAGGCTTCCAGCCACTGACCTCAGCCATGAGGATGTCCCCGGCAGGTCAGGTGGCTTTGAGACAGAGCTCCAGCCTTTGGGTAGACACACTAGGATTAAGGCTCAGTTCCACATCTCTGAGCTGTGTGACCTTGGAACAGTTTCCTTACCACTCTGAGCCTTAATGGCCTTGGACCAGATGGACCTGCAGAAGCCCGCAGAATTTCATGAGGGCCTGGAATCTGCTGTCTACGGGTGCTCCTTCCTAACTATTCCTCAGTGACTCGCCTTGGTTACGTCCCATAGGCATGAGGTGTGTGCCCACCTTTCTTAGCACATCCACAGCAGGAACTCTGGAGCCCAGAATGCCCTCCACACCCTGTCATAACCCCCTATCAGCGATGGTGCACTCCGACCCACCAAGGCCAGAACCTTATGTTGTGAGTCTGTTTCTCCCCATCCTTTCCCGCCAGGGCAATGACACAATGACGCCCGCAGTCATGTAAATCATGGATAATTCACAGTTCCAGTTGTTCAAGTTCAGTGCCAAGTTAAGATCTGAACAACGGAAAAGGCGAGCGCCACCTGCTGGAAAGAGCCAGAATGCGACACCCAACACCCGACCAGCCCATCCCTGGCTTGGGGAACCAAGGGAGCGATGGAGGCATTCCTCCAAACCCCAGACGCCGGAGAGTGGGCAGGGTCCCTCTGCCATGCAGCCGAGCGAGGCCGAGCAGATCCGAATAAAGCGGAGCAGAGCCCAGTCCGGCCGAGCAGAGCTGAACACAGCCGAGTACAGCCGAATCGAGTCGGGTTCAGCCGGGTGGAGCCGAGTGTGGCGGAAAAAAGCCGAACGAAGCTGCGCAGGCTGCCACGGGGTGAGGGGGCGGGGCCTAAGGTCCTGCGGCGCCCCCTGCTGGACCTAGCATCAAGTGACCTGTGAGAGATCGATCAGGTCACCTTGGGGTCCTGCCACAGTCCTGTAAGATAGACGTGTGCGGCGCATTTCAGGGATGAGGAAACTGAGGCTCCACCGAGTCTAAGGCTGGCTTATACGCACTCAGAGCTAGGGAAGTGAAGGAGCTGGGGTCCCCCTGATTGTGCATGGTCGAGATCTCCCCTGCCACTACCAGAGTGCACACTGGGTTGTTTGCTTCTGTCTCCCGGTGATAGAGCCCATTATTTACAGCCAGAGCAGGCAGAGCTGAGACACCACAGCCTGACAGATGGAGAAAGCCGGCTCCGGACGTGTTGACCAAGGGCTGCAGGGCAGCAGTTCCCATGAACAAATATTGACACATTTCCTGGCCATTAATGCAGAAGGCTGTGAGAGGATATTCTGTTCCTTCCCTGCAGAGCTTTGAAACACCCTGCCTCCCACCCCAGGCCTCAGTTTCCCCTCCTGTAACAGGGTGGTGGCAGAGGATGTGGCCAGAAGCCTAGGTATCTGCAAAAGTGAAATGTTTGCATCCCCACTGTTCACCCCATGGTACACCCGCCTGGTTTGCCTGTCCTCAGCTGAGGAGTGCTGGGCCTCTGGGAAGCAACCCAGGGCCTGTGTGACATCAGCAGTCCCTGTGCTATATGCTCTACCCAGGGGTATTGCCTGCAACTAGGGAGCTGACTCCAGTAATCTCAGAACCACCACCACCACCACCCCGGCAGCCTGAACCCCCAACGTTCTGGACCTCACCCAGAAGGTCTTAGACGCCCCCACCCCACCCCATGAACACATTGGACTGGCTCAAATCTGGGACTTTGCTTCCATAAAGTGCATGTGATGTCTAACACTTGTGTATTATGTATGGGTGCCTGTCACTGGCCTAAGCTCTTTACAAATGTTAACTCATCTGAACCACAAAGCACTTCCTCATCTCAGAGTGGAGGAAACTGAGGCAAAGAGAAGTTAATTAACTGGCTCAAAGTCAGACAACTGGGGAATGGAGCTGGGACTTAACCATAGGGCAGTTTCAGAGTCCACATTGTCTACACACTGACACTTATCTCTGCTGTCCCCTCCTTGGCTCCTAGGTGACCAGCCTGACCTCTACTCCAAGCCTCTGCCAGTTGACAGAGCTCACTAACCACTTGTTGAATGAAAGATGAGCAGGTTGGTTTGACATATCTTCCAGGGAGGGACCCAGGAGAGGGAAGGTCGCTGACTGTAGGACAGTTGGGCAGTGGCCTCTACAAAGTGCGACAGCCAGGAATTTTAACAAAAGCTTATTGTGTCACCCAGAATGAGGGTACATACCTGTAATCCCAGCATCTGGTAAACTGAGGTAGGAGGATTGTCCTGGATTATAGAACGAGACTTTGCCTTGAAGAAAGAAAAATAAAAACAAGGGCTCAGTTGGTTAATTGCCTGCTACATAAGCATGAGGCCCTGAGTTTGGATCCCTAGCACCCACATAAAAAAGTTAAACATGATCACGTGCATCTTTAACCTTAGCACTGGGTTCAGTGAGAGACCATATCTCAAAAGATAGATAAGAACAATCAGGAAAGTCCCAACATTGGCCTCTAGACTCCACATATGTGCACACATACACATGCATGCACACACACACACATGCATGCACACCCACACCTACCCCCCCCACACACACACACAAGTTTCTTGTAACCCAGTTCTGGAGTCCAAAAGTTCAAGGGCAAGACATCAAGGTAGTTGCTTCTTTCTGAGGGCTCCGAGTCTGTTCCAAGCCTCTGCTCTGGCTTTCTGGGGTTTGATAGCACTCTGAGCAGCCCTGGGCTTAGAGAGCGTCACCCTGGTCTGTATGGGGGGTTGGATTTTTGAGGCAGGGTGTCATGCAATCCACACTGGTTTTGAGCTCCAAGTGCTCCTTAGCTTCCTCCCAAGTGCTGGGATCACAGGTATGCACCACCCCATCACCCCAATATTTACCTCCGTTCTATCCCTGTAATGACACAAACATGTTAGAGGTCCACATTACTTTATTTACTTAAAATATTTTTAAATTATTTATTTTTATGTCTATGAGTGTTTTTCCTGCATGTATGTAAGTACACCCAGGTCATGCAATGCCCCAAAGAGGCCAGAAAAGGGCATCAGATCCCCTGGAACTAGAGTTATGTGTGGGTGTTAGCCACGATGTGGATACTGGGAACTGAACCTGGGTCCTCTGCAAGAGCAGTTGAGTGCTCTTATCTACTGAGCCCTCTCTCCAGCCCCAAGGGTCCACCCTTCTTGTCTGTAACCCCCCTCCCTATTTACATCTGCAAATGACCCTTTTTCTAATAGGAAGGGCATGGGGTGGGGGTTAAGACTCTTCTGGGTCCTGTGGAGCCCAGGCTGTCACCTCCTTTTGGGACAGTGGCCTACATCACCTTCTGGGTAGAGAAGACCTCGGTGATCTGCCACCTTAGTTTCCACAGCCCCTGGCTCTGCAGACCCCCAGCTCTTCCCCTGCCATACTGTTTCTGACGCACAAACTTCTGGTCCAGAGGCTGGTGGCCATGGCCTGTTGCCAGGCAACTGCTTCTGAGAGACAAGTTCAAGGCAAGATCTTGAGTCAGCAACTTTGATGGCTAGAGAAGAGGACTGAGGCAGGCTGAACTGTCACTGCTCTTCTCTCTCTGCTCAGAGTTCTCAATTATAGATTCCAGCCCTGAACCCCAAAACAAGCTTCTTGCCACCTACATACTCTTACTTGTTCCAGATTGCACAGTCCCTAAGCAGGCTCGTCATGGTGTGACTGTAGCCCCCTGGAACTATGAAATACAATGGCCCCCTTCAGGCATTCATTCTGGAGGCTCATGTGAAGGGACAGAGCTGTGGTGACAAGTCTTGAGGGCACAGATGAATCAGGCATCACCCCTGCACTGCAAGGACAAGGTTATCAGATGCATGTGCGTACTCATGCACTTTAGTGTACCCCAGCAATGACACCCCGTGTTGGTCAGTTCAGGGCCATGGGAGAAGAGGATCCCCAGCCCAGGTATTACTGCCAAGTAATACTCGGGCCCCAGCAGGCTGTACCCACACAACTGCCTCATGGAAAGCCTTGACACGTTTGTGGCCAAGATAACTTGAGCACCTAGTACACGCCATGCATTGAACTCAGTCAGGGCTTCATACATACACACACACACACACACACACACACACACACACACACACACACCTGCATGATCACCAGCCACCGCAGCCACAGTAAGCCTGTGTATACTCAGCCTGCTGCTTCCTGACCTTCCATCCCATATCTCTGTCCCTCCCACTATTGGCCAGGCCAGACTGTCCATCACACTGCCTCACCTTCTCTCTGACTGGAAAGGTAGGCACATGATCAGTCATCATACCCTACAGCCATGCCTTTAATGATTGACCCAGGGGACCATCATGTGACCTAGTTGTAGCCAATCAGTTTTCTACTTTGAGATTCCCTCTTCGGATAATAGAAAAAAGAGTTATCTGTTGTTTTAGGGTAGAGATCTTCAAAGGTATAGGCTCAGGCTTTCAAGGACCTCTGTGTGATCCTTGAAGGACTTGGATGTCATAGAAGAAACCACACAACCACCCATACTTAAGGACACACAGAAGAACTGGCCCAAGCCACACTAGTATCATGTGTCACCATCTTTATTGACAGGGGCTAGGGGCAGAAGCAGCAAAGGATTTCTCAGTTGACCTCCTAGCTCCCTTTGTAAACCATAGCTCCCCTGCCCCGGCCAGGAAGTCCAAACCATTCCTTTACCACCACCCTCAGTTCCTTCTTAGAGGAGCCCCAGACCAAGTCCCAGGGCTGGGCACCACACAGGCCTGAGTTTGTGAACTTCCTCCTCCTGGGATGACCGGCTTTCTCCTCAATCCCTGCCTCCCTAACCCTTGGCCTCTGACCCCAACACCCTATTTCTCATGGCTTGCAATGTCCTCACCTCCAGGAGGTGACACAGAGGCCACTTGCGAAAGGAGCAGGGGTACAGGTTGAGCCTAAGGCAGGGGCATACCCACTTTGTATCCAACATGTACCACCCATTGTGGTGAGATGAATGTGGCAGCTCACCCAGCAGGATTCAATTCTTTCCCCAATTCCAGAAGACAGGTAAGGTGGAGAGCTGCCTCCATACCATAATGGGGACACTGAGGCCCAGAGAGGGAGGGGCCAGTCAAGAGGCTTGAGGTGAATAGAAGATCCAGGTTCTCAACTTCTGGATCCTTGAGTTCCCTGAGGACCCCAACTCTGTGGAGTGGGACAGGGGTGGGGTTAGGCAGAAGTTCCAACCTCTTCAGGGCCAGCCTGGCTTTAACTGGAAGGGCCATCTCTGGGGTTAACCTGGACCATGACTGCTCCCTATGACTCCCTTCCAACCTAGTCACATCATATGAAGCCTCAGAAATACAGATGGGGAGGCCAGGGATTGTTCACCCCTCCCAGCATTCTGGGGAGCCAGCTCCACTCCCAGGGCCCCCATCAAGGCCTGTGCCCCTCTCACTAGCTCCATGGACCCTCCAGGGACCCTTCTGGACCGTCCATGATTCCCCTCCCCCTGAATCTTTTCCTGGAGACTGTTTCCTCTCACCATCAATACTGCAACTGAGCTTAGCCCAAGCAGCCAAGGACGACTCAAGGTCACAGCACAGTCTGTTCTCACTCTTCCTTCCTCTCCCTTTTCCCTCTTTCTCTTCCTAATACCTCTCTCTCCTCTCCTCCCTGCTTCCTCTTGGATCCATGCCTCCTTGTCATCCTCTCCTCATGCTGATGGTAGACTCTGCCCTTCCATCAGGTCCATGTGGGTTGGGTCCCTGGCTTGCTCTCTGGGCAAGAGACAAGCTGAGGACTTCGGGGGCCTGAAGAGTAGCACAGGGAACTTAAAGGAAGCTGCCCTGGGGAACAGACAGCTGATTTCAACAGGGTGAGCTAGGCTGTGGGTGGCCTAAGCCTCTGCAATGTGAGGGTAGGTCTCTAAGAAAAGGGCTACAAAACTGTAAGTAAAAATCAGATGCAGGCCATGAAGGAGCCTAAGCAGCTGGAGACCCGGAAGCTCAGATTTATTAGCCTCTTAGAAAACTCGCCTCTTTCCTTGTATCCAGGAGCACAGGAGGCCCAAATGACCCCCTGGGATGAGGACCTGGAGGGGCAGTGGGGGAGGCACAGTTGTCTAGCTGGGGGAGGCCTGGGCAGGAGCAGAGCTGGTCAAGGCCACACAGCAGCATGAAAAGAGGCTGACCTGGGGCCCGAGTGGTCCTATCCCACCCCACCAAGTTACACTTTCTTCAGTCTCCAGGCCAGCTCACCGGTATCCCTGACTCCCCAAGCTCTGGTGTATCCCTCTGAAAGCCAAGATACAGGCTGACTCCTCAGACACATCATCTCTCGGAAATCAGTTTGCTCCTATTCCCTTAACCTGGGCCCCACTCAGGAAAGACTGGACCTGGTTCAGAAAAGTCAACCCAGTAACGACACCCCCTATCCTCTTCCAACAGACCTCATCTAGGCTGATTATGCCCATCCCTGAGTCAAGAGAAGGCAACGAGGCCCAGAGAGGGCCAGTGACCTGCACAAAGTCACACAAGTCCTGATAAAGTGGGACAGAGCCCAGGTCTCTGAATATCCCATCACTGGCCCCTGGTACCTCAGTGGCTCCAAGAGGGCCAGCACAGCTGTATAGATGAAGCCAGCTTTCCAGCCACTGCTGGCTTGGACCCCTGGGCACAGGCACAGCCTCCACCCTTCTCCAGGCAAAGCTGGCCCCCTGAAGATCCCTACAGATAGCTCCTGCGCAGGGTGCTGGTCTTCTCCCCAACAGCGGCCTCCTGGGGTAGAAACAGTTGCTCCTTGGTCGCCACCGCGATGGGCTGCCCTTCCTGCCTGCTGCTGCCAGGCTGTGTGATCTGACCGACCCCTCCATTCATCTCCTTCCCTCTCCGTGCTTTCCCTTTCTGATCCTCCTCCCTTCCCCCGTCTTCATCTTCATCCTCCTCCTCCTCCTCGGTCTTTTCTGGAGGGCCAGCTCCAGGCTCGTGGCTGCGAACCCGGCGGGATGGTCGAAGCAGGATCCTGCGGAAACCCTGTTTGAAACGGTAGGAGAGGAAGCCGTAGAGGATGGGGTTGGCACAGCTGTTGGCATAGGGCAGCGCCACCACTAGGAAGTAGAGGCCGAAGAAGGCAGGCTCCTCGGGCAGCGGGCACACCACGTTGACGATGTTGAGCACATAGAATGGCATCCAGCAGAGGACGAAGAGAGCCACCACGGCCACCACCATGCGCGTGACCCTACGCTCAGAGCGCCGCCGCCGCTGGCACGTGGGCGCCTGTACCCACTGACAAGAAGGTGCCCGTACCCTCCGTGCGGCCGAGCGCACCTTCACCACAATGAGCAAGTAGCACAAGCAGATGACCAGCAGTGGCCCGAAAAAGCCCAGTGCAGCCGTGTAGATGATAAAAGCCGCTCGCCAGGCCGCTGCCGGCTCCGGCCACTGCATGTGGCATGTGCTCATGCCCTGGGGCACACCTGAGAAGACCACCACAGGCAGCACCACCACGGCGGAGGCCACCCAGACAGCCGCACTGACTGTGCGAGCCACAGGTGCTGTGCGCCAGCGAGACGAGCGCGTGGGGTGCACCACCGCCAGGTAGCGGTCCACACTCATGACGGTGAGGCAGAAGATGCTGGTGAACTGGTTGATGCCATCCACGGCCATGACCAGACGGCACATGAGAGAGCCAAAGGGCCAGTAAGACAGGGCATTCTGGGCAGCCAAGAAGGGCAGTCCTAGCATGAAGAGTTCATCGGCCAGTGCCAGGTTGAGGATGTAGACGCTGGTCACTGATGGACTGGCTGTGTGCCGCAGGACCACGTAGATCACCAGCGAGTTGCCCAATAGGCCCACCACGCATACCACCAGGTAGACCAGAGGGATCAGGATGCCACTGACAGCCAGACCTCCCAGGTTCAGGCCAGCAGACACATTTCCCGGTGTGGCATCCAGGGGCCAGGTGGAGGAGGCATTTCCAGGGTCCAAGGTTGTGGGCACCAGTGAAGGATAGGCAGGGGTGGCCATGGCCAAGGAGACGCCAGTCAGCAGTCAGCTACCGGCCTGCAGGAGGGAGGACACAACTCAGTTGTGGCACAGAATGGATTCCTCTGTTCTGCCCCACCCCTACCACCTTGAACTTGGAGACCTCCTGTGTGCAGACTCAGAGCTTGATGACCATCTTGTGCACTCTGCACAGCCCAGCAGAAAGAGAGGGGTGCTGTTCCCGTTTCCCACATGAAAAGCTGAAAGACCTCCTGTGTGCAGACTCAGAGCTTGATGACCATCTTGTGCACTCTGCATAGCCCAGCAGAAGGAGAGGGGTGCTGTTCCCGTTTCCCACATGAAAAGCTGAGTCTCAAAGAGGTGAAAGGGCTGACCTCTAGCAGGAAGCTAGGACATAATCATTTTGGTTCATAAAGTAACATGCTCTTTCCATGCTGCCCAGGCATCTGGGGATCGTGTTGTTCACCAACAGGTCTGAACCTTCAGGGGCTGGTGAGATGGTACAGTGGGTAATTCCTAGGACCCACAGAGTCTAGAAGGAGAGAACTGACTACCACAAGCTGTCCTCTGACCGCCAGACACATGCCATGGTGTGCACGGTATGCACATGTACAACACACACCAAACACACACACACACACATACACACACACACGTGCGCACAATGTAATTAAGCATTTTTTATAAATCAGATCTGTCAGTTTGAAAACCACACATCTCAGATGCTCAACCTAGAACTTAGGTCTCCAGGTGAACCCCAGAGGATCCACGAGCTCCCCCAAACTCCGAGTGAAAGTTGATATGTTCTAGTCTTTTCTAGCTAAGTCTTGCAAACTTTACTCAGATTCTTGATTCCAAATAGAATGAAGGGCAGCGGGCTCATGGGTGTTCCCTCTCCTGGGAGTCTGAGTTCTCAGCATCTCCCTCAATTTAACCATCATACTTGGTACCCCACCAAATGCCCTGCCCAGAGGGGTGATTGTGAATATGAGGGTGGGTGTGCCTAAATCCCTCCTCCTATGAGACCAACTCATAACAAACCTGCAAGGCACACAGCAGCCACCTCCCTTAGCTCTGTGTAGCAGGGACTCTGTTGGGCTCCCCTCTGGACTCCAATCTCCTACACCACAGAGACTCATCCAACTCTGGACCCTTTCCACTGTCTACTACCTGTCACTTCACACAGCACATATCCTATACTAGTGCATGAAGCATCGAATGAGTGAGTCAGAGGAACCCAGAGTGGGCTGCAAGTGGGCACCATGGGGAAAGGAAGTCTCTCTGGCCCCCTCAGGCAGAATGTTGCACCCAGGAAGCCCAGGAAGACCATGAGAGAGCTGCCCTACCCCTTTCCTTATGACTACCCTACCTGCCCTGCCAGGTCCCTGGGCTCCTGGCTACTTCCAACTCCTGCAGAGTGGGGTGAGGAGGAGTTTCCAAGATGAGACACTCTCCTTCCTGAGTCTATACTGACCCATCTGGGCTTGGACCCCTTTCCTGGGACCTAAGGTGCTTTGGGCATCCTGATGAGACTCAGAATATAGGCGGCTCCTGGGAAGGGGGGCGTCTAGCTCCCAACATGCTCCAGGGCAGAGAGCGTGCACAGCAGCTCCAAGTGCCAGGATTCCCAGCTATACCCAAGAATACCTGGGCTCCTGGACAGGGGAACCCTCCAAGCTGTCCTCAACCTACTGCGCTCTCCCCTCTCTTGAATGGGGTATGGGGAATCTGGACATTGGGCTGTGGGCTTCTATAAGGTTCTGTCAGAGCTAGCTGCTCCTCACTGAGCCCCCACTCCAGGAGGCTCTAGGAGAGACTAGTGTCAAGGCACTGATACAGTACCTGCATCCAGAGCCCAAGGCATTCCCACTGTCCTCATGGGCCAGTCAGGGAGCCAAGGCAGGCAAGAAGGGGCACATCTAGGAGGACCTGTGACCTGTCCCGTATTTCACAGACTGGCAGATAAAAGCCAGGTAAGGGCAGGCCCCTGCCTCAGTTATGGGCAGGCCCTGCTCTCCTGCTGGCCTAGGCAGACCTTGTCTGGCTATTCTTTGGGCTCTTGTATTCAGGATCGTGGGCCCAGACTTTGACTCTTAGGAGCTTAGAGATAGAATTTTAAATTCTTGGGACAGAATCTTGAGTCTCAGAGTCAGGTGTTTAGGCCCAACGACCTTGAATCAGAGAATGTCACAATTCCAAAAAAGTGGAGGCAAACCTTAGGCCTGGAGCTGTGGAATCTAGGACCTTAAAGTTCTGCTTTCCGGGTCTGGGTGGTATATCCTGCGTCACCAACCACCTTGTTTACTGCTATATGCAGAGTTTTATAGCTTTCCAGAAGGGTGGCCAATCAAAGGCAACCAGGCCATAGGAGGGAGGGGAGCACTGGGCAGAGCGAGGAGCAGGGAGCCAGGCCAACCTCATTTCCAGGCTTCAGGCACAAATGCCCTCAGGGAAGCTTGGGGTGTGCCCTGAGAATGGCCCCTCCAGCCCCATCCATTCACAGGCACCGCCCCCCCCAACACACACAACACAGAGGAACACAACTGCTCAGCAAGACATTCCTCAGGCCCAGGGTAGAGCACCCCTCCGGGCCCCTGGTCCCCTCCAAGACACCCTCCTTGCTGTGAGAAGTTGACAGGCCAAGCAGGCGCCAAGAGAAATCACAGCCTTCCACCAAGGAAGCCAGACCTGCAATTTCAATGCTGCCTTTTCTTTAAGGAGCTGGGATCCTGTGCATGATCTAGTTCCTCCTGGGGAGGGAGGGAAGGACTCTGCCTCCCCGTCTGGTTTATCTTTGGCACAAGCTTGCCTGAAAGCCGGGGGCGGACGCCACTCTGGGGACTGTTCAGGGGAGGAGAGACACACAGAGAGGGTGAGTTGCTGCCCTCCCAACCCCCCACAGCAATTAAGGATGGCCCCTCAGGCATGTCAGACACCCTAGTCACTCTGACTTGCTTCTCAGCCAACTCCTACCCCCTCCAAATTGCCAGCACTCAGCACTTAGCCTGTCACCCAGAACTCAGTCATATTAACAGAACCAAGCAGATCAACAAGGAGACCCTAAGGTGCAAGGATGCTCCTTGGCAGAGGCCTCAACTTACACCCTGAGACCCTTGGGGAACTCAAGAGGGAGAGAGGGAGGGGGAGGAAGTCGAAGTTCAGAGAAGTTAAGTGACCCCCACAAGGTCACTCAACTGGTGAATAAGAAACACAGATTCAAACCCCATCTGTCTACTAAACCATGCTGATTTCCAAAGACTTCAGGCTTAGAGCAGTCAAAAGTCAGGACAGCTAGAGACCATGCAAATGGAGGGCCCCTGATTCATGCTGCTTCTGTCTGCCCTCAACACCCCTGGGCCTTGTTCCAAAGGGGCTGGGACTATGCTAGTCAACACTGAATGGCTCCAACTCCAGGCCTGGACTTTGACCCCTCCAGGAATACCTCCTTAAGCCCTAGGCTGGGGACTTGGGCTCTGCTGCTAAATGTCTGGTGCCAAACTGCTGTGTGACCTTAAACAAGTCATTTCTCCTCTCTTGTTCTACCTCCTCCTACTAAAACCGAGACATGTGTACCCCCACCCTCCCAAGGTTGCTGCAAAGGTGAAGTGGGCGGGTGGGCTGCACCATGCCAGGACAGAGGGGAGCTCAAGGGTGCTGCATGCCAGCCCAGGAGGCCAGGCAGCACAGTCTATCTGCTTTGGTCTGGCTCTCACATTCTGCTGTAGGGAGAGGTTCCAGATTCTAGAATCACAGCACAAGATTCTGAGGTTAATATTCCTACCTACAGCCCACCCAGGGATCACCAAAAGCCCTGTTCTTTGCTTTCTGTGACTCTCCACTCTCCACCAGCCTCAGCCCCAAGTTCATCCTGGGTGGAGAAAGGGCTCAGACATCCCACCCTCCAAGATCCCCATGGGCCCAGCTTCCTTACCTGCCCAGGGGGCAAGGGCTCACCTCCTAACGGTCAGGCTGGGTAACATTCTGCAGCCAAATACCACTACAGCACGGCTAGCTGGGGTCCCACACAGTACCCACTCCTCCAGCACTTGCGGACTTGGGCCCCTCCTAGGCCCTCGGCGGCCACGTCAGCCCACATTGCCTCTCCCATCTGGTCCCTGGTCCTGACTTCCCACAGTCGCCTGGTGCATCACGCCCCCATCTCCAGGACACAGTGGGGGGCACAGAGGGGGATCTGCAGGCAGGACCCAGTGGGGGTGGAGGGAGGTACTTCCCAAGGTGAGGGGAATGGGAAAGAGCAGGGGATGGAAGAAGCCAATAGAAAATAAGGAAAGGAGGGTCGGTCGGAGGTGGAGAGAAAAAGGAGAGGGAGAGGAGACCGTGAGTGGGTGGAAAGGCAGAATGAGGGGGAGTGAAGAGAGATGCGCGATGAGAAGGAACAGAGGAGGAAAGGGAGGACGGAGGAAAGGAGAGACTGGATGGACAACGGAGGAGCAGGAGATGCAGAAAGAGGCAGAGACAGAGGGAGGCAGGAGGAAGGAGAACGAGGGGGTGGTAGAGACAGTGACAGAGAAGGATTGTGCCACAGATGGTGACATGGAGAGCCAGCAGGGGGGGAGCAGGAGGGATGCGGGAGGGGCCAGGAGGAGGGACTGAGGGCTGGACAGCAGGTGCCAGGCTAGGGGGCAGCAGGTTAGGGGTGGAGGCCGGGAGAGGGAGAAGCAAATCCTGTTACCGGGGAGATTTCAGCCACCCACGCTGGCCTTGGCTCCCTCGGGGGCTTGGAAAGAGAGGGGAGCTCAGGAGAGTGGAGAATGGGGCTGCCAGCCATTAGCAGTAGGACAGACCCAGGTCCCTGATACATAGTTCCGTTTGGGGTGATGATGTGGGGCTAGAGGCGGGAGAGAGGGCAGGATGGGCATCAGGTCAGAGCCCATATCTCTGACCAGAGACAGAGATCCCAAGCACAGCTGGACAGGCCTGAGAGAGGGTAGATGTGATCCAGGGGTTGGCTGGATCTGGATAGCCCTGGGCAGAGAAAAGAGCAGAAAGACGGAGTAGAAAGTAGGTCTACTTTAAGAACCAAGAGACAAACGTCAAAGAAACCAACAAAATTTGAATTATAACAACTACAATGGAGACAATTGCTCATAATATACATTGGCTAATGAGAAGGCCAGAGTTCCCCCAGGGAGGAAGTATTTTGCTTCATTAGAGTACAAAAGTAGTGGTCCTCAAGGTCAGACTAGTCACACATGTCCACCTTGAGACCTTTGCACAGGCTGTGTGGGCTGAGACACTGATCCCACCCCATCCCCATGTGCAATGCAAGTGGTCCTTAGGACAAGAAGGGCCCCCTAAACTTCCTAGGTCAGCCCTCACAGCCCTGATGCATCTTGTAGACACTTGACTGGGGATGAAGCACTGATGTCCTCTGTACCAGGTCATTAGTTCCCCAAGAGCCAGCTCTGTGCAGGTTCCCATGGTGCCGTGGACTGGCGGCAGCCTTCATCTCTCCGAACTTTAACTTCCTCCCCCTCCCTCTCTCCCTCTTGAGTTCCCCAAGGGTCTCAGGGTGTGAGTTGAGGCCTCTGCCCAGGAGCATCCTTGCACCTTAGGGTCTCCTTGTTGATCTGCTTGGTTCTGTTAATACGACTGAGTTCTGGGTGACAGGCTAAGTGCTGAGTGCAGGCAATTTGGAGGGGTTCATTCCATGACCAATGAGAGGAGGGAGGATGGATGGATGGATGGATGGATGGATGGATGGATGGATGGACGGACGGATGGGTGAGCGATAGAGGGGTGGGAAGGGGACTCTGGTCTAACCAAGCGTATGCTGGAAGCTAGAGAGTTAGGGGAAAAGGTCCTAGGCACCAGACTGGGAACCATCCCCTTCCAGGAGCCTTCCTCAAGCAAAAGTGACCCTAGAAGTCCTCCTGGGCCCTTTCTCTGGTGTGTCAGGGCAGAGAGGATGTTCTGGTTTGCTTTCTGTTGCTGTGATAAAACACTGACCAAAACCAAGTTGGTGGGGAAAGTGCTTATTTCATCTTACAAGTTACAGTCCATCAGTGACAGCCTCAAGCAGGAACCTGGAACTGAAGTAGAGACCACGGAAGAGTGTTGTTTGCTCAACTATATTTTGTATATAGCCCACGTGTACCTGCCTACCGATGGCACTGTCCAAAGTGGGTTGCACCCTCCTACATCAATTAGCAATTAGGACCATGCCCACAGACATGCCCCAAAAGCCAATCTGATGGAGGAAATTCCTCAGTTGAGGTTTCCTTTTCCCAGGTAACTTTTGTCTGTTTCAAGTTGACAAAAACCAACCAGCACAGTGGGAGCAGGGGATTCTGGGAATCTAGAGGAATCCCAAAGGGATGGCCCTGCCCTGTCTGGATTTGAGGTTCTAAAGGCCTCTCTGCTCAAAACCCCAGGATCCTTGACCCCAGACTGGACCTGGCCCAGCAGGCCTGTCAAATCTGCTGGGGCCCTGGCTGGCCTCCCACCAGCAAGGTCAACATTGGGTGCCCCTGTGTGATCTTGGTCTTGGCAAAAGTGGAGCCATATCTCCATCCTCTTCCTGAAGGGCTCCCATGGTGCTTATCACCATCAGACAAGTGGTTTTTCAGGAGCCTGGATCCAGGGTCCTCTCAGCCCTGAGAGATGCCAGAACCTTCCATCTCTCCTGCCCTTCCTTATGGTACCTAGGCAGACGCTGACCATGGGCCCAGGAAGAGAGTTACAACACAACCCATGGAGGGTGTGGCCATGTTGGAGGAAGCACATCACTGGGGGCAGGCTTAGAGAGTTCTTATGCCTTGTTGGCTCTCCAGTTGTGCTCTGCTTCCTGTACTTGCTTGAAGATGTGAGCACTTAGCTTCTGCTCCCACTCCAGCCACCTCCAATGCCATGCCTCCCCACCATGATGGACTCTTGCCCCTTTGGAACTGTAAGCTAAAATTAACTCTTCCTTTTATAAGTTCCTGTGGTCATGGTGTTTCTAGCACAGCAACAGAGAAGTGACTAATACAGAGCTTAAATTTCCTCCTGCAGCTGAGGCTTCCTCAACCCCCGGCCACAGGGCGTCTGGCCATGGTCCACAGGGAGAGAAAAGAGGCTTGTGGAATGGCCCCTGCACCAACCTCATTGCTTCTGCCTTAAACGTGCCTCTCTCGTGCATCTGGCTCTCCAGCCCAGAGCTTTCTCCTCACCAGCCTCTGAAGGGGTTCTGAATATGCCACCCCCAAATGCTGCTTTGCCACATTGATATTTTTTTAAAAACTGAAGGCACTTGAAATGAAGAAGGACACTGTGACCTTCTCTCTCCTTTTGAAAGCAGCTGAAGGCCCCTGGAGAGGCGCCCTCCCTGCACAGGGAGGGTGGTGGCCTGCTGGTTACCAGCATGGGTTCGGGGGAGGGAGGTCATCTACAGAGTACAGCTTTTATGCTAACCCCCATCTTCCCTGGTGTCAGCTGCCACTCATTCTAGCCAACACATGAGCACTTGAGTTTTGTCATCGTCCTGGGGGTCTTTGTTGGAGGAAACACGGGGGTGGGGGGAGCACTCACTTGTACTGTGCATATTAATAAAAATCACATGCCTTCCTCCTGTCAATCTGCCCTCTGTCTGTTCATTCCTGGCCCATCCAAAGACCCTAAGGCAGGAGAGGAAAAACATTCTGCCTCTGATACCACAATCCCTTCTGTGGCTACTCAGAAGATAAAGTAGATCTGTTAAAACACTTGGTCATGACTCAGCAGTTAAGAGCACTGGCTGCTCTTGCAGAGGACCAAGGTTCGATTCCCAGCACCCACACAGCAGCTAACAATCATCCATAACTCCTATTCCAGGGAATCCAACACCCTTTTCTGGCCTCTACAGGCATTGCATCCATGTGGTGCAGTTACATACATATAGGCAAAACATTCATACACATAAAAATAAACAGATTTTTAAAAAAAAATGTTAGTCACACTACTTAACTCCTTGAAACTCCTATGACCACCTGTTGCCATCCTCGCCATAGCCTAAGTGTCCCGTGCAATCTGCCTCTACTTCCCTCTGCTCTCATGTCACTTCTCCACTTCTAAGGTGCCATCACCTCAATCTGAAGTTCATGTGCTCCCCAGGCCCTTTTCACAGGCTGCTCTCTGTGTCTCCCTTCCCTCCACCTCTAGCAGATGTATACATGGCCTGCTCTGAGAGGCCTTCTGTAAACCGTACTTTTCCCTCATAGTGCCTGCTCTGGGCCCCCTTTACATCTGCAATGCAATTATTTTCAATTTCTAATTTGCTTTTGTGTTATTAAAGTATTGTGGTTTTGAAACCAATTGTACTATATATATTTGTCTTTTTGAGACAGGGTCTCCCTGTAGCCCCAGCTGTCCTGGAACTCACTATGTAGACCAGGCTGGCCTTGAACTGACAGATATCTGCCTGCCTCTGCCTCCCAAGTGCTGGACTACAGGCGTGCACCACCACGCCCAGCCTAATAGAATATATTTTTAAAAAGAAAAGAAAAGAAAAAGGGGCTGGGGAAAGATGACTCAGTGGTTAAGAGCACTGACTGCTTTTGCAGAGGACCTGGGTTCAATTCCCAACACCCACATGGCAGCTAACAACTATCCATAACTCCAGTCCCTCTTCTGTCCTCTGTGGGCATTGCACAACACAGGAGCACTTACACACATGCAGGCAATACACATAAAACAAAAATAATAAATAAAATATTTAAAATAAGTTGTACTAAAAAGGGTTATAATGACAAAATATAGACATCCCCCAGTGGCCCTCGTATCCCTCCCTGGTTTGTCCCAGAGGCAGCCCTGTCATTTAACTAGTTCTGTTTACCCCCACATTGCTAAGCATCACGTCACTCTCCCCACACCTTGCTCCCTCTCCCTTGCCCTGTTCTTCCCTCTTTGTATTTTAAAATTTTTATTGCATTTATTTCATGTATTTTGTGTGCATGAAAATGGGTATGGGTGTGAGCACATGTGTGCCATGTGAAAGTCAGAAGAGAACTTGGGCATCAGTTCCAACATGAGAGTCCTGGGTTTGAACTGGGGTCCTCAGGCTTGGCAGCAAGCACCTCTACCTGCTGAGCTATCTCACCATCTCATGTCTTGATATATTTTTAGATAAGAGTCTTGCTATGTCGCCCAGACTAGCCTTGAGCTCTCTCAGTCCTCCTGCCTCAGCCCCCCTAGTGTTAGTATCCTAAGCATGGCCAGTACACACAGCAGGAGAGCAGTTTTGATTTCTTACTCTCCTCTCTCCTCCCCATCCACTCAGCTAGATTGCTGTTAAAGGTGTAAACAGTCCTACGTGAATATCATTTCCTGTTCAGCCAGTTCATCATTGCTTTATTCATTTACCTGCTTTCTTAAAAAAAAAATCTTCAGGGGCTGGACAGTTAGATTAGTGGTTAAGAGCACTGGCTGCTCTTGCAGAGAACCCAGGTTCAATTCCCAGCACCCACATGGCAGTTAACAACTGCCTGTAATTCCAGTTCCAGTGGCTCTGATGCCCTCTTCTGATTTGGCATTGTACAATATGGGTGCACTTAGGCACATGCAGGCAATACACTCACTCATA